GATGCCCTTAAAAATTCAAACATAATTTATGCAAAACGTGTTCATGCTTTCTCTTGTCCATTTGGATGGAAATCACATTCGCTTCATATCTTATGTCCAAGGAAAGTGTATATTTAGGTTTTAAAAAAGTTTCCCGACCTCCGAATGATTTTCAACCGCATTTACCATTGTATTTGCGTTTAGCAATTTCAGCCTACAAGGTGCATGCTCTTTGTGTAATTAAATTCCTAATGATAGAGAATATGCGCGGCCCAGGTAATTGCATAGAAGAAGACGGGAAGGCGATCACTGGGACCAATGGTTTATTTATCCGACGTTTCGAACTCTCACGCGAGCCCATAGTCAAGGAATGAAAAAACTGTACAGCTCGTCGTGTATTTAGCTCACCTCTGCCGGGAGTGACCTCTAGCTGCGCTGTTGATTTGTTCACGGAGTGCTTGATAGGCGATTGGCAGATCGATATGTCGATTAATCGCGTCCCCAGTTGAGTGCCACGCTTCCTGCAGCAGGCGCGCAACTCGGTTGTCTGACTGTCCTAGTATTCTCACGCGTGGTAGCCGCCCACGCCTCCTCGCCAGGACACGCCTTTGACTTTGGGAGCGTGAGAATACTAGGACAGTCAGACAACCGAGTTGCGCGCCTGCTGCAGGAAGCGTGGCACTCAACTGAGGACGCATTCCACAATTTTGACCAACATTTCATGAGATCGGTCACGCACTGTAGTTGCTAGGCCGCTACATGCCTACCACAGTTTAGAGCACTCGAGTGCATCATAACTCCACTGGCCGGGTGTTTAAGTAAGCCGTTGCTACGCGCCTGTGTGCCGGTCAAGATTATCGGCTCTCACGCTCATCGCACATCGCCGCCGACTGGCTGAGTACCGGCTTTCGTCATCAGTGTGGACTCTTGGGCGATTTTGCTCGCCGACATCGATATCAGGGACGTGGGTACCCGCCTAGGTTGGGTCTCAGAACCGAATATGGATCGGGGAGGTTATTGCGCTTGTCGATCCATGGAGGAGCGGAAACCATGACTCCAACAGGTCGCGGTTCACGCGGTCGTCGCCTCTAACAAGATTTTCTGCTTCGTAAAACTTGAATGCATTGTTTGAGCCCGTCGAATGAGCCGCGACTTGGGAGAGGACGTCGTTCCTCCCCACTGCTACCGCGTGCTCGGCCAACCGCTTCCGGAGTAGTCTTGTGGTTTCTCCGACATAGTTGCATTTCCCACAACTGCAGTGAGTCATTAGGCCTCATGACCTGGCGCCTTATGGTTGCCTCCAGTTTAGGTGCAACTCAAATTCCAAGGGATTTAAGAAGGTGGCTGATGGCTTCCGAGCCATTGTTCACGTGCGGAACAACTGGCCAAAATTTGGGACCTTTTTTTCAGCCCATGCAACTTGATGTAATTACTGAACTCCAATGTAATCGCCGGCATGAATTCATCTTGGGATTCAAACCTCTAAGTTGCCAATACTTTCATCATTGCCAAGTCTTGTCATCGTTTCGGCCGCATTTCCACGTATTCCGTTCGTTCTCTGACAATAATAAGTGGCGCGTATGTTCGGCTCACTCTGAATGCTCCACAGCGGTTGTAGCGGATTTTCCAACAACGCAGTGTAACGCGAGGCTACCTGTAGCACGTGTTCAGTCCTTCTTTTAAAAAATGAAGCCCTTCCTCCGTGTTTCCTAACAAAGTCTTGGATCCCCTTCTTTTCCTCATCCATATAAACGACTACACTGTACATCTTGAATGCGATGCCATCGCGTTTGCAGATTATATAAAGGTCTGTGTTGACGACCCACAGAAACTACAGGAAGATGATGATATGCTGGCTGCATGGTCCAACAAGTGGCTTTTAGCGTTTAACGTATCCAAATGTGTAGTCTTGCGACTAGAATCTGGTCGAAGGCGCTCTCCAAAACACCAGTACACCATAAATGGAGTTCCATTAAAAGAAGTGGACACGCGCAAAGACTTAGGTGTCTGAACAAGTTCCGACTTGCTGCCTTCCGAGCACTGCAAAAGAGCCGTCCAAAAGGCAACCAGCATCATCCACTGGACCAGGAGTGCCTTTGCAGTCTTTCCTCCCGAAATCTTCTCACAGATATTCGGTTCGTTCGTCCGACCGCATTTGGAAAACGGAATGCCAGAACGGACTTCCTGGGTGAAGAAAGACAGTGATGCCATAGAGCAGGTGCAACGACGGACCACAAAACTGGTGGACGGTCTCAGGACCCGGTCATATCCAAAAAGACCGATCCAGCTAAACTTGTTCCTCAATCCTATCGACAAATGAGGTGTGGCCTGTTATGGACACTCCGTACTATCCACGGGCATTAATGCTCGCTCAAATCTGATGACCTCTTTGACTTCACGACCATGAGTCACCTGCGCGGTCATCCGTACAAAGTCAAGCAAGAGCATACACGCCTAGACTATCGGAAGTTTTCATTCAGTCGGCGTGTAGTTCGACCGTGCAACTCACTCCCAAGTGAAATAGTGACATCTGATACAATGGTTGTATTCAAAAGTCAGCTGGATCGTTTGATCTTTGAAAAACAACGATCAAATGCAGGACTACCTGCGCCAAGCCATAAATCTTATTTCCTGATCCCATCCGTATATAACGCATCCCTGCACGTTTAATGAAATTTTTCTCGCAAACTACGCAAATGACTGCACTCTGTGCTGATTGTATATGATTGCACTTAAAATTTCATATGCACATGAAAAAGACCGCCTTCCGCATCTTAGCAGTCCAGCACCGTACAAACGTTTCCGCAGACAAATATATTACTACCAAAATGTTAGTACGATGTGTGTCTAACATAAGAATTGTGCGTGCCGTCTGTAATAGGGTCATCAGGGGCATTGCCTATTACCCTAGATGTACTACTACAGTAAATACTTCTACAAATGTTCGGTACAAAGAATGGAATTGCTGTGTTTGCTTCCTAGTAACTATGTTTGAGTTTAAACAGGCACAGAAAGTTAACAAAAAAATATTCGCCGCCTATGACAATATTTCAAATGTCTACTTTGCGCTAGATATGATGCTGGACTGAGCAGTCTTCCATAACCAAAACTGGGACGCTAGCCGTCTGAAGATCGTCAGACGTCCGATAGCAGATCGTAGGGCCCGGACCGCCCCAACCCTCTATAACGTGACCTAGGTAGTCTGCCAACATCAGACTTGTTTTGGCACAATCCAAAGACCTAGAGGTGGCATGCCAGGTGGCTGGATAGACGTCCGCTTCCGGATCTCAGGTCAGACCAATGCCAAGTCGATCAACGAAACCGAGGCCCGACGAATAACGGTTCAACTGGCTTTTTGGCCCATTGCGTTCAGGTTGCGACAGCAGGAGGCCGGTGACGTGAAGACGAGGCTTGGGGACTTAATAAGACGTGTCAGAGCGATGCACAGGGGACTCCACTTGGGCGCAAGATTCACAACCAATTGATTCCCAGCTCAAGTTAATGTACAAGCCTCGAGCGTCCGCCTTCGATTTTTGCCTTCAGACGATCACCAACAGGTAGAAGGGTCCGTCTTGGACGCTTGGTTCTCTTCATGAACCAACTACCAATTAAGGCCTGCAGTAGCCTTTTGATGTACAGTGTGTGACCGATCTCATGAAATGGTGGCCGAAATGCGTTTTTGATTAGGAAGGACTACCTAGGTGGGGGGGTTGTAATGTTGCTTATCAAACAACAAAATCCTATAATATTCCAGACTCGCCAAGCTGTCGGCTTTTGAATGCACTTCTTTTCAATCCCCCATAAAAGCCGCACCTGGTAAAAATGACTACTTAAGTAGCATGTATTTTTCACATTGATTTTCGATGGTCATTTAATTTCAACTATTTCTTATAGAAAACATGCACAAGAATATGCTTTCTTCTACTTGTTTGGTAGAAATTAACATTGTCTTTACATTTTATACCCGAAGAGAGCGTATATTTAGGTTCTGAAAAAGTTTCCCAATTCCCCAATAATTTTGGGTCAGATCAGCCGTTGCATTACTATTTAGCAATTCCAGTCTACAAGTAGCATGCTATCCGCACAAGAAAAATCATACATTCCTCTACTCCTTTAAGAAGATACCAGAAAGAGTTCATGAAATTTTGAAATGGATCAGGACTGTATTGTACATTTCATGAAGAGCATTAGTAAACGGATATAGGCGGTCTTGCATGTATAAACATCGCCCGGTCTTAAAAATCTCATAATAAGAAACTTTAAAACCTAAATATACACCTTTTTCCATAATAAATATTTCAAATTAAATTACCACCGAAAATCAATGTGAAAAATGCATGATACTTAAGTAGTCATTTTTTACCAAGTGCAGCTTTTATGGGGGGTCAAAAAGGAGTGCATTCAAAATCCGATATCCTGGTATTTTGTTGTTTGATAACCAATATTACAACCCCACCTAGGTAATCATATCTAATCGAAAACGCATTTCAGAACTTCGGCAAACATTTCATGAGACCGGTCACGCATTGTATTGGAGAGCTGCGCCCCGAACGAACCGGTCGAAGACGCCGAAAACGAGGGGGCCCAATCAAATTGGCAACGGTAGGCAAGTACGTCAACCTGGAATTTTGAGGAAACCAACTAATCACAGACACGTAAATAAAACGATGGCCTGCATGCCACGGCACAGCCTGCCTTCTGATCGACTGAAGAAAATTCTCTACAGCGACGGTTTTCATACCCTGAGCAACGCCGTTTCTGGTCATGACCAACATACAACAGGTTTTGTACAAAGCAGAAAGTCCGTGCGCAATGTTTCGAGAATTGCGAGCGCACACACGTAACAGCCAGAATGGCACAGGAGGGAAAGTAGTGGAGAAATTATGAAAGGGAGTTTTAATGCCGATAATTGGAGGGTGAAATGGCGACCTTGGCACACAAAACCGTTAAAAGGGGAGTGCGGTCATGATGGTATGTACACACACACGCACAGAGAGACAAAAACGCGATGGGTAGGGAGGCTAGAATTTAAACTCCTTGTACTTCTTGGGGGCTGTAGGAACGGCAGAACTACTCGTCGCGCCGGATGCGGTACCAGAGGCACTGGCGGTGCCCGCCTTCGCGGACTGCTGGGATTCGGAGCCGGCGGGTCGTTTTCGTAGCATTCGCTCGCGGGGATCTTCAGCCTGTGAAAAAAAAACAGTGGAGAGACCTGGTGACTGGGGCGTAGACAATGCCAGTTTGGGGCTTTGTATCCGACCTCTGCTGCCTGACGCTTAGTGTTAGGACCCTGTTTCATATACCCCAATAGTGTTAAGTCAGTTCTGTGCGGAATAGAAGACAGACAGGATAGCAGAGAACAGCTTTACCGTGACACAGTCACTCTGTGCACATCAGCTCTCAATCCTTCTGCCCGTGGCTTCGTAGTTAAGGGTTTGTATGTTCCTACAGATCCCCAGTCATGAGCGCCCGCATGGGCAGACCCTCGTGTGTTGTTGACGCGCGTAACTCGGCGACGCGCTAATTGCTGGCTCGCGCGTGGGTTCGCTCGGCGAGACTGATCTGCGGGTTTGCGGTTCTTTGTCAGGCATGACCGCCGGACGACAGGGAACGGTACGTCATGTTATGGGCCGTCCTAACACCTCCTGCTGTTAGAATGTGGACTACGAAAGTTCGACAATTTGGGTGGGGCATAAGTCTACTCGGGGGGGGGGGCTCCTAGTTCTGGAGACCCGGGCCATAGCTGGAGGTTTAACCTTTGGGTTTGCGATACTGAAAGTGTCGCAAAGAAGGTTCAGGGCCAAGTGGTTGTCGGATCTCACTGGATGCCTCAGCCGATTCGCGTGTTTTCCCACACGTAATCTATTTGTCTCGACTCCAAAAACTACACCATGTGCCCTTTTGATTATACCCTCTGGGGGATATGAAGTGCTTACCGGATCGAGTGACTTGTTTGGCTGACGTTTCGAAGAGCTGGGGCGGCTCTCCATTATCAAAGCGTCTAGTGAAAATTCGATCAGAATTTTGAATAGACAGCCGGATTAGTTGGCCTTCAACTGATCGATTTTTTTCTTCTTTCCCTGCCTTGGCCTACTGGCCGTCGCCTGTGAGCGTTGGTGGGCTCCTGTATTGTGTGTCGTCACCTCAATTGGGGTTAGTTGCGTTCGCGTCCATCTTTCAGGTGAATTCGTTGACAGGCAGTATTTGCTCGGTATTCTTAGGGTCCGTATGACTGTCTTGTCTTCGTCACAGCGTATGCAGTGACGTAGGACTTTATAGGCCGAAGGAAGATCTAGATGCCTGTTCATGGAGTTGGCATCTGAGTACCAAGCCTCAAGTGTGAGACGCTCAATTCTTGAGGTGCCCCCGCCTACGACGGCTGCTCCTTGAAAATCGAAACTGTGACCAGATTCCCCGATGTGAGCCGCAAGCTGTGAGTTTGGGTCTAGTCTACGAGTTGCCAGTTTGTGCTTGTGCCGGCGGGTCTGCAATCTCCGTCCGGTTTCCCCAACGTAGTTGCAGTCTCCATCGTTACAACGCATTTTATACACAACTGCTGAGGTATCAGTGGGTGGCAGTATGTTTTTGGGTTGCATCAAACGGCGACGAATTGTTGCCTGGGGTCGATGGGCAATGCCCACCCTGTCCAGGGTTCTGCTCCTGGAGCGTAATTCCGTACGTATATATCTTTCCCCTCTATGAAACAGGATTTTCGCGTCCGAACCTCTTGAATCACAAGTTTCAGGTAGTGCAGACGCACATCGGGCTCTCTGTCCAGAAGTATTTTGGTCGGAGTTAATCCACCTAGCTCAGTCTTTGACGTCGTTCGACAGGCCAACAGGAACGTGTTCAGGTGCTCCATCTTGACGCCTGAGTTCCACATCTTTCTCACTGCTCTTTTGAAGGTGCCAACAAACCTTTCGGTCTCGCCATTTGATTGAGGATGGAAAGGCGGCGACGCCGTATGTTTGATCCCCCATTTTTGGTACATCTGCTAGAATGTGCTTGAGGTGAACTGGGTCCCATTATCGGTCACAATCGCCGTCGGCATTCCGTACCTCGAGATCAATTCCTCAGTCTTCCTTACCGTGTTTTCGCTGTGATTACCGAAAAATCGAAAATCTCTAGACATTTTGGCCACGATGATGAACACCTTGTTATAAAAAGGACCCGCGTAGTCTTTGTGGATTCTATTCCAGGACTTCGTGGCTTCCGGCCACGGCGCTGGTGGGGTTTTCGAGGGTTCTTTGCAAACCGTCCACACGGGCCACAACCACGAACAAAAGTTTCAATCTTTTCGTCAATAAACATACTTTCTTGCTAGCTGTTTTATCCGCGCAATACCCGGATGTCCAGAATGTAGCTCCCGCGATACTGGCGCCTTATATTTAACCGGCACAATAACTCGACCATCGTACAGCCCCCACTTCCATAAAATCCCAAATCTAACTTTCTGTGGAAGACCACAATCCAATTCTACCATCACTATAAAAAAATTCACGCCCTTGAACTTCGGAAAGGACTGTAACCTCCCAGAGGACATAATCTCCGTCTTCCTTTTACTACAGCTTCTATGCGGCTTCCGGTAGGATAAGTTTTTATGTATTTTTCGAGGCTGAAAAGCTATGCATCCGCTCAATTACATAAATCAGTTCTCACATAACAGTTCCATCTTCCTCGAAAACTAGCCCCGAGAACGGCATGGGGTGGAGTTCATAGCGCATTCAAATAAACAAGTTTAGAAAGTATAGGGGTCTGATTTAGGTAACTTGACCCGCACAGCCATACGCACCACCACGCCATCATAACCTAACTCAATTATCTTCTTGTACCATCCTGCCAAAAATTGACACGCTCCTTTTCCTACCCACCGTGTTTCACTAACAGTATTTTTGTACATTTTTCGTCAAATACCTGGAGGCAAGACGACGTATCGTCTAGCGCATCCGGCCGGCATTAACCATTTGTCATCACGCTACTTAATATGTTTCAGTAACACGTTTTGGTGGATTTGTTATTTCGGCACGACCACGCACAAGTAGGGACCGCAAAGGCAAATGCCTCAGACTTTCCCTCGAGTCGACTCAATTGAATTATCAGGCAACCTACCTCTTCTCCACGAGGCGCTCCAGTAACTCCAGTGACATCGTAGAGTTTCGTTGAGCCCAACATTGCCGGAGCCTGGATATTTGTCTCACGTTCAGGCAGAACGCGGTAGAGCTGTCCGGCGGCCAGACCCGTGCCCGTAGGTGTGGCAAATCCACTCTGCCTTTCCATCGCCTCCTCAATGGTCTTTTTGCGCAGTTCAATGCTCACATTGGGCGTATCCAGACCGGCCCCGACGCTGCTAACTCCGCTGGGAGTTATGAGTCTGTTTAAGGGTAAAAAAAGCCACATTAAGACTGAGGAAAAAGGGTTGCCGGCACATACAGTGCGTGACCTATCTCATAAAACCTCATAACGGAAACTGATGTGAGAATTTCTGGACGTGTTTAACGTTGTGTATTTTGCTTGCTCATACGCTTCCTTCAACAAAATGTCCTTTTCTTGTGCAGAAATTGTGTTTACGTAATTATATCAAGCAAAATATCAGCAAATTTTGGCGAAAATGGACGTTGGAATATATTCGTGCAATTTCCTATGCTAATACATGTCCTAGAGTCCGGTTATTTATCTGAGCGAGTTTTTAATTGAAGAGAATGTAATTTGCCCGCGAGAGTTTTAATAAACAGATTTAGTCAAACTTGAAAATTTATTTGATGTCCAATGTTAACCGTGGTAATCAACTTGCAAACACAAAGGTTATTTTAAGAAAACCAGAGGTTTTATCAATTCTTAAAAGTCATATTAGCAGATCTGTACGACTTGGTGCCCTAAAGAGCAGTAATAACGCAGACAGGGACTCCTTCAATCAAGTAGGCTAAAAAATTTTTGCCGTTTGAAAAATGCTACCTGATGCCACATAAATGACCACCACCGAATGGTCATTTCCAGTTATGAACATATGAAACACTACTTTCGTGTAGTTCAGCTTCTGTGCATATCTTGTTCGGAAGTAGAACGAGCAAAAAAATTAATAATTTCAGCACAATATCGGTATTTATATGGGCGCTCTTCCGTGCATTCATAAGCGAAGAACGGAGTCTGAAAGCGAGCAGAAACAGTGTAAGTGGCCAACGAGCCCTTGGCTCAGAGGTACTCCTCCCTTTGCCGACTTCCGCACAAAAATTGAGATGACGAAAATGCGCTGATGGTGATTAGCCTCCGTATGTGTCGTTGGGCATAGGTAATATGCTGAATTTATCACTACTCCCACTGATCCGGAAAAAATGAGCCTCCCAAATTCCTCTGGCTTGCATGCATTACGTGACTTCCTCAAGACATCTTAGGTTACGTACCCGCTGGCAGGAGTCACCAGGCCGCCCAGATCGATAACGCTCTTTTCGATCGGCTGGATGACCTCTCCCGGTGGGATCTCAGGAGCCGCAGGCCCACCTTCCTCGTCCTCCTCGTCCTCTTCCTCCTCCTCTTCCTCCTCTTCAGACTCCTCGTCGGACTCCAACTCACCCCAGAAGCCTTGTTTACCCACAGCTGGATGAAGGAAAGTAAAATTCCTTAAGCACTACAAAAATAAATGGTGGTGGTGGTGGTGGTGGTGGTGGTTTGCGAACGATACCAACTATACAACAATGAACACACCTTGCTCCTCAGCTACGTCCACCGGACCGCTTGTGGGTGGCGGGGGAGGCACTCCAGCGATATTGCCGCCATTGCCGAAGACGTCGCCGTAAATGGGTCGGCCGAGCTCGTCCACGGGCGGCTTGCCCCAACCGCCTGGATGGTAACCGAAGGCACAACCACTGGGGATGGGCGCATTCAGGCCGGGGATTATGATGTTTGGATAAGAGGGCGGTGGGCCATAACGCTGCATCGCAATAAGCCATGGGGGTGGATATCGATCGGCATTCTGGAAAAAAAGTATGCAACAGCATTGTTAGACAGCTAACGCAGCTTTTCCAGCGGTAAATGCGTCGTCGTTGACCCAGAACTGGAAGTGCCGCCGACCAACTCGGAAGTCGAAAAGACTTATGAACCTGTGTCACTTGAACTCAAAAGCATGTCCAAGTGTGCAGGAGCACTGTTGAAAAGCTTAGATCGCTTAGTCGCTTTCAGTTAAGCTATTCGGCTCTTCAAAACAGGGTTCAACCTACGCTGAAACGAAGGTAATGAAAGTCCAAATTTTCCCACTTTTTAACAATGTTGATTGCTTGCTAGATCAGCGCTCTTTGGCCATGTTTTCAGCCCACGTATATCCGACATGCATAGTAGGTTTTAGAGGAACTTCCAAAATTTAGTGGGGCTTTTACCGCGCAATCCGCCAGTCCTCTAGAGACCCTCTCTCAACAAGCTTTAGCTGCAAAACTGTGATACTGGTCTCCGGTACAGTATGCAAAATTCTCACGTTTTCTTTCGGTGGCCTGCCTGTCGGTGGCCGGTTCGTCGTCGTTACAAAGTGCAATGTCTTCGAGCGGTGGTGGGCCTAGGTGGGGATTTTTACCATGAGGGCCAACTGCGTTCTCTCCCGCCTCCAGTCTTCTTGACTCTGTTTTGGCACCCGGTCCAGGTGAGGAAATAGGAGAGGGCGGTAAATGCAGTGTAAGTCTACTATCACTATAAAGGAAGTCCTGCGTGGGTCACCGTCCCTGCTCTCGCCCTACTGTGGACATAGTTGGTCGCGACGGTCGAACTGTCGTAATTTGCCCAAAAGCCACTACTGAATGCAAATGAGTAGCAAGTAAAACCAGGCAGTTTGTCTGCCGGAAGAGCACCTACTCGTCAAGCGGTGTACCAGTCTCAGGCGTGAGGGAACATACCAGCCACCGGCTAGTCTACCACCTTTTTGTTATTTTGTTTTCACAATGCGTACTTTTATTTGGCTTGGTCTCAACTTGGTGAATGAGCCTGCAAAGAGGCCCTGAACTGCATCTGAATGTGACGGCCGTGAGGCAGCGGACTTCCGAGTAAGGCTTTAGATGGAGCAATTCTACTATCAGTTATGGAAGGCAGCAGCAAGCACATACCGGTCCTACGGGCAGGCCAAGAGCGTTGCGCAACTCCTCTGATAGAGCGCCGGGCTTCTTCTCCTTCAGTTTCACCTCAAACTCCTTGCCTTCGTAGTAGAGATCCCCATGTTGCGTGAGTTTCGGTCTCGTCTGGTATTTGAAGAAGGCGTCATGCAGTTTCTGGTAGTCAATGTCCACTTTGCCCATCTTTGGTCGGATCTTTTCTCGCATCTTCGTTTTCAGAGATTTGTCGCTCTCCTGGAAGGACAAAGACGCAGAAAAGGTCTGTAGTCATGGAAAATTGGAAATTAGCACAAAAAACTAACAAATTGGCAGACATATTATGATCCCCAGAGGCTGCAAGGTAAGGTCACGAGGCAAACTGCCATCCGACGTACCCATAGTCTTTAATCTCAGAAAGGAGGGGGCGACTGGTGAAAGAACGTTACCGGTGAAAACATGTCTCCTGGACAGCGACAATGAGGGCAGCTAATAATACACCGATGGGTCAAGTCTTGAGTAAATTACGGTTTGATAGTAAGCTATCACGGTTCCCTTGTGGGTGGCAGGCAAAAATGTTTGGTAAAAACTCACATGACATTTTTCTGTGCGATTCCCATCTATCTAACATCACTACCAGCACCTACAAATAACCTGCACCTACAGGGCAACTCCAATGATAATAAATCCGTATGTGTGTCTAAAGTGAATATATCTTGCCAAAAATGGGTGTTTCACAGATTGTAAACAGCTGTGACTGCTTTTGGTGAGGGATTGACTACTCGGGTGATGAGCCCTGAAGACACAATCGATTTCAGTAAAAAAAACCGTAAGACTTTCTGGACTATCTTGGTCCCCAATCTTTGCAAAAGGAGAAATAATTGTATTAGCCAGGGGTAGCATGTGGACATGATATTGTCTGAGGACTTTTTTGTGCATGTTCCGTACTCATAATTGTTGTATGTGGCTTCAAACTCCAACTAAGTCTTTAAATTCGCGCTCTTACCAGCCAATAATACTTCGTAACCCTACCATTCCAGTAGGCTTGAATGTACGTATGTTTTCGTTTTCTATAAGCCAGTCGAAACGAGTTATCGACTTTGAACTGACGAGAGGGCTCATTGCCGGCTGGGGTTCGACTTGCAGTGGATTTACGCCATGACTATCCTTGATATCAGGGATATGCAGTACCGAAAGAAGTTTCCCGAATATTGTCTTAGGAACACAGCGTTCCAAAGTAGATAGTTCAATTTTGTCCATTATCGTCATTATACATGCGCATTACACGCATCTCCGGTCAAATGAGTACAGAACCAACTGCGTAGAGGCTGACAAAACTACTTGCGTAATCTATGAACACCGGACATACGGAAGGCGCTGGCACACATTGTCCTCCTGCCCTGTGAAGCCATATTCCATTACTGATTCGGTCTGGTGTACATTGAGGGCGCATCGCATGCTGGAAGTCGAAGGTTCAGTCAGTCGGCAAGTCAACCCCGCAGGATCCGAGATGCACTACAGATCCGCTTTCCCCAAGTCCTCCGCGAATTGGTCAACCGGACGGACGCCGGTGCGAGTCACGTAGAGGACATCTTCTCTATCAATGTGATAATTCCACTTCGCTAGAACAAGGGTGGGTAGAACCCTGATGAACGGTCAACCGCTGGTCACGCAGTGGTGGTACTTGCGCAACATGGCTGGCGATCGGCTTGGAAAACTGACTCCTACATGATGTTCGATAACCGTCATTAAGAAATTCTATATCCAATGGATGAGGCCCGTTGTTGGTGACGGCGGTCGCCAGTACTACCTAGTGAGGTGCTCGTTTCCTCGCAGCTATCGGCAAGCCCCGTCTTTCCGGGGAACCGGACGTCCCTGCTCAGTCCATGTAGAAGCGAACGAGTGGTCGCAATATTGACATCGCCATCAAGCAACAGTTCAAACCACGCTTTGTGCGCTGGTGAGGGACGGGGTTCTCAGCAGCCTGTGAAATGCACGTTACCGGTATTTGATACGGCTGTGATAATAACCAATAGAACTGTTCTCAATTACGTCTCACATAGCGTCCTTCAACGCCTGATGATCTGCGGCAGTGAATCAACTGAGTTCAGCCTAGTCTTTTTCGCGGGCGAAGGAAACCAAATGCCAGAGGTTAAGGAAGCATCGAGGTACTGTAGTTGTTCTTGGTGGCATGAATTTTGGTTTAGTTGGTTTAGACATCCAAAGCACAAAGTACGACTTGTTACGGAGATCTCCGCGATAATATGATACGATCGAGGTCCTCGAGCAGCGCTGCAACCCTGGACTGGGAAAGGTGGTTTGTTTTTAAATCGCCTTGCATGCCACTCCTGGATGGCATGATACGGCCTCGCGAGTCTGTCGGGACCCGCATGTGTGCTCAGCATCCCCATGTACTGTCCTGTGAAGAACACCGCAATGGTGGGCTGACCATTTTTATCAATTCGACAATCGTTTAAGTTCGAAGCACTGGCGTGTGCTCGGCTTACTAAAGATGCGTTAGCCGCCACATGGATAAAAAAACGCTCAAAGCACCTTCGAAAGCGACGTAATCGCGTGGCGAAGACGGTGAGATGAAACAGTATGGCTAAAAATTTATCCGAAATTGTGAAAATCATCAACGATTGCAAACGTCACAAGGTACCGAAACAAGCGAAAAGCCTAACCTACAGCCTCTGACTGGTTAGTTGAGCGGCTGTTCCTCTGACAGCCGGTGAAGAAACCGCCGGTTGCAAAAATTCAATGGGGTAGCAAGTTCAGTAAGCAAAAAATCACCAAAAAACAATGTTGTCCACTCACCTTCTCCGTAATCGCTTGACGCATTTCCATTATGCCTGTCCTTGCAATGAATTCAGGCAGACGGAAGGGTGGCTTTTCAAAACCCCGTTTTCCTTGCAAGTACTTCCGCTTAGCACACCAGTGCTTCGGTACTGGCACTGTGTTGCGGTAGGACTTGAGGTAGACCAGCAGGAGGGGGTCACAGGCACACACATCCCACATTTCTACCACATCAGGCCGCGATACGGCCTGCTTTAGACTAGCCACGCTGGGCCGATTGAGCAGCTTCAGTTTCTTTTTGCTCAGCGGAGCAGGCGCCTCTCCCTCCTCCTCGCCCTTCTTCTTCTTGCTCTCACTGGCCGCTGCAGCCGCGGCCGCCTGTGCACTTGCCTTGGCTGCTGCCTCCTCGGCGAGCAGAGCAGCAGTACGCGCCTTGAGGTTGATGTCGGGGTGGCCGATGGACTTAGGGGCTGTCGAAGAGGCACCGTTGGCGGAGCCGTCGGCAGCTCCCTCAGCACCCTCGCCCTTCTCCGTCTCGTCTTCAAACACTAACTGGGGAAGGGAGGGACGGGGGGCGAGGAGAATAGGAAACTAACACCGGGAATCAATAGCATAAAAACCGGAGTGGTTAAGATGGATACGCGTTCACCAGCTGTTTTAAAAAAAAGCCGGTCTGATACAATCGGCATATATGATTGCCTTGATTCGGCCTTGTCCCACCGTGAACAACATACACGGTCATCTGAATAAGAAGGAAATCATGAACTAGGAAGAGATAGTAGATTGAAATGCATGCTTAGAGCTGCAAATTTACACCTGGAAGTCACAACACTGCCTGCAACATTCCTAATTTTTTGGGCAATTTTCGACCGTGATGCAAACGCTTAAGGCAAAAATTTATAAAATTAGGGCAAAGTCAGACCCTAAGAAGAAGCACGCAGACGTCTTGTCAGACTAATAAACTTCTTGTTCCAGTGATCGCACTTTTTCTGAACTGTTTCCTGGAACTCGCCTGATCACTTGTGTAGGGTGCGAAGTCAGCCAGAACACCGAAATGAAGAGAAGACTACCGATCCCGTCCCGAAATGATCAATCGCGGTGCTCAAAGGAGTACTTTGCAGTTTTTAACCTGTCATCGCTAGATGCGCCTGGCAGTACGTTTGCCGCAGTCGCTCCCGCAAAGCGTCTCAATGATTGACTGCAGCTGTCAGTATGCTGTCAAAATTAGGGAAGCAATCCAGCGAAATCGAGAAAACACAGTCGCTAGCGAGGATGGACTACCATCTGTAGTCCATGATCACTTTCCAGACGTCCTATATGAGCGACTACGAAAGGTCCTTCGTAAATGCAAAACACTGGAAGCGTTGCATAGAAATGAAACAAATGAGTCTAACAAACCTACGTCACAAAATTAGACATGGCATAATTCTGCATCAGCTTAATCGGCGTCGTTTCGAAACTCATCAGAATCCTCCTGAACTTTTCTCCTATTTCCAGATGCAGAGAGATGTAAATCAGGACGGTTTCCGCCTGACAGAGGCCACATTAACCAGGTATTTCTCATGTGACGAACCTCAGAGCAAAGACATAAGATTCCAAAAAGACAACGCTTCACTGCAATGCTCCATTTAGCTGGCAGAAATGTCCTCAGAAATGACACAGAAACTATTTGTGTCCCCGAAACCCACGGGCCTAGCCAAAGCCCACTATAGACTCGGATCTTGTGCTTATGGTGAAGCGAGTGAGTACTTAACTGTGAGCGCTGGTGTCCAGTAACGCCGTGTCCTGCATCTAGACCCTACATAAGCAATGCACTCGGTTCTACCAACGACACTTATCAAGTGCGGGACAACCAAGCGGCACAGAGCTCTAGCGTCTCGGACCTTGACAGTATCGGCGACATCTCGTCCCTCAGAAACTTCTTTGAAGAAACGGCCTGTCGTCGGGTCCAGCGAAATCGGCTCCAACCTGAATGGTAAAAGAACCAAAGTGCTGCTCGACGGCTCCAAACTGCACAAAGTTAGCTCCCTTCCTGGACTGCGAACGGTGTGAGGCATCCGACTGTATTGTTTCATCAAGTTGTCTGAGCTACCAACGTCTCAGTGACAGGCCACCAGTCGCTCACTGGAAAGTTTGCTGTCAAAGTCTAGTAGGTGGACAAGGTCAGGACTGTCCTGCTTTACAGATGAGGAGCTTGGACCCTAAGCAATGATTATTTGAGAGATATTAGGGCGTCTGACGACTGGTGTATCTGAGAAAGTTGGCATTCCGGTTCACGAATAACGATTGATGCTGAACTTTATGGTCGATCGGAGACACCTCCGACTGATGATTTAGCTGAAAGCTACCTTCCGAGACGATTTGGTTACGCACATCGCCGGCGTCAGTTTTCCACCAGACACTCGTTCAACAATGAAAAGGTCAGTACTAAGGTTTTCAAGGGTTTTGGATTTCATTAGATCCAGAAATGGAGACTACGGGTATTTAATTCGGGGTTGCCAAGTTACCTTGAATCTTTCAAAGGCGCCCTTGAGCTCAAAAACTGGGAGCTCCTCGTCCTCATCATCGCTCGACTTCTGGCTAGACGTCTTACTGGGATATTGTAGGGTGCTAAGAGTTTCGTCAGGATTTGTCTGCTTTCTCCTTTGTTTCGCTGCCTTCTTCTTTGATCTCTTTTTTCTGTTCCTTTCCTGCTGCCGCGTAAGGAAGCGTTGACCAGATTCACTCAAACTGTCTCCATCAGCATGTTCTTGGTTTTCCAGGATGGCCATTACTACGCAGCCTACTTAAAATAAGAAAGTGTAAAAATGTGCCAAAGGGGAAATCGACATAACCATAAACATTCCCTAGTCAGGATTCTTTAGATGTACTCTACTTAATAGGTTCGTGAGATCTAACAGAAAAATTCCGGGCCTATATAGTCTTTCAGTTGGTAACAACGGTGAACAATGGATGCGCCCAGTGCGAATTCGCACGTTGTGCTCCTGACATCATTAACAGCTACTGGAAGAAAGGCGGGAAGAGTCGATACTTATAGAATGCGTACAAAGTTTGAAGTATGAGAAACTAGGGGCTTAAACCCCTACAATTGTAGAAATTATGCCCTTGGGAAATAATTTGATGGAAACCGTTTGCTACTTGACTAGCTGTACATCTGAAAAACGGGAGGTTAACCAATCTGAAAAAGATTTGTTGGCGCGGACAATGGGAAACTTTAATACGATCTCACTTTTTAGTCGAACTTTGGCGTCGAAACCCGATAAGGCCTCGGAGACCAGACGAAGCCAAACAAACCAAATTGCAAAGGCCGCCTGACGCCGATCCGTCCAAACGCGGAATTCGACCTCAAGAATTTGGAGGAATCGTCCAAGGCAGTAGACTCAGAAACGTTAATCACAAAAACTTCAAAATTGTGGAGTAAAACATAAAGCCCGCAATGTCCGCAATATCAAAACGCGCTTCCTATGGTTAACGAGTGTGTAATGCCCAAGTCAATACTGAGGTACGTAGCAAAAATCTCTAGAGGGCATGGAGTAGGGCAGCAAACAGAAATAAATGACTCTACAAATACTACCCGTAAAATCAGCAAAAGCTATCCAAAAGGCGATTTAATTAAGCTGATCGTACAGTATATAACCTTATAAGTCAAACTCACACAGAAGATACAAGAACTGAATTATACTGAATTTCGGAATAGCGCGCAGGTCTCGTAAAATCATGCCGTCCATAAAGGACGCCGTGACAAAAGGGACAAAATTAAAGTATGACTGTTGCAAAAAAGTGCGGGATCGGTATAAATGTTCCAACAAAAAGTCTTTAAAATCCGAACAAAGTTAGCATATGCATACAGGGGTAACCGAGACTTTGAGGTGAGGCGGATGTTCGCATTACGCGTGTAGGTAAAAGCAGGAAAGGTGTGGATTCTGCTTCTTTGTCTCTGATGATGGATTCGAGTAGGAATCCGAAATTTCAGGCTAATATAACTCTTGTCCCGGCGATCGTGTCTCCTTCTTTAAGACTACTTCCTGGGACTCGTCTCTTCGCTTCTATTGGCAAACGTGTGGATTGTTCTGTCACTGGGACCGATCTGGTTCGTATATGCCTCCGAACTTGTTCAGCAGCCCCTCGTTGGAGATAGAAGCAGCAGAATAAGCAGCAGTTTTAGGGGATCAATAAAATTTCCGTGACGCCGGTCCAGAAGTGAACGGCGCTGGGCCGGAGACAGATCGAAACATCAATCGACTGAGTTCGCGTCGGAGTGCCAGGACTCAGCCAATCCGCTACCTGTCTTGCATCGACATGGACAATTATCTCCGTATTTGTGAAGTTAAACCCCGGACCCATTGTGCTAAATCCGTCGCCCAGTCGCACAGCCAGCTTATGTTGATGTATGCGCAATCCGAACGCGTGTTTAGTCGGACCTGTGCAACAGAAAGGACAGTTTAGGCAAAGGATACAGTACGCTTCACCCGACTGCTCAGTGAGATTTAATCAGTTCTGATTTTAATTACCCTGGACCGTATGGTAGCTTTGTACCGTGTTTAATTCCCACGCCTGGTCCCGCAGCAATGCGCACGGTTCAGTATCAGTATCAGTATATTTCAGGGAAAGTAGGTGTGTACCTTTGAAATCCCTATCTACCTTTGCCTGTGATGCATCCTCCATGTGTGCCAGAGTATGCCATACGATAGGTTTCGTCTCCGTGTGGGTACTTATGCGCGAACACTTAGACATCGACTTATTGACGCCCTCGGACACCCGTTCCATGCAATTTGGTTGCGGATGTATCGGACCCAATGTGTCCTTTCCTCCGGGTTGCTGCAATGCGTCTGGATCCGTTTGAAGAATGTTTTCACAAAGCTTACTTCTTGAACTACCGGATGGTTACTAAGAAAGCCGAGGAACTGCATGGTGTGCGCCGCCTTCAGGCAGACCGTTGTTTCTATTTCGCCAATGCGGTTTTGCCCTATGAGCACATCGTGAATTGTATGGCTGAGAAGACTGAGTTGGACAAATCATGAAAATTCTGCACATATGCTTCCTGACGATGATAAACGAATCTTCCACGCGACGATGTCAAATGACCGGCACCTTCTGGGTAGAGACAATTTTTTCAGCTCTTGTAAGATCAGTTCGGTCATTAGACCAATTATTGGAGAAAACACTAGAGCTTCCTTCATATGCTCATAGGTTTCTCCAGCACAAGTGAGGTTCAGCACATTATCGATCTCATGAAACTTGGTGGTTCGACTCTCTCAGTCCCTTCAGCCTTCGATCTCTTTGCATATCTCCGAGCTTACATGATTTTATCACACGAAGTCATGCTATGTGTCGACGTGACATCCCTTTTCAAATTCCTCCAATCGACTTTGGCGTAAGGAGTCTTGCACATGAAACTTGATGTGTTGTATTACGTAATTCAGAGCTTAAAATTCGGCACCTCATTTGTCTGTTTGAATTTAGGTCAAAAAACCTACATCACCTTCGCGGAAGAAACATTAGCTTTTATCCCCCATGATGGGCTGGTGAACGAGTTCAAAAACCCAGGTGAATAAAAAGCGGTTCCGGCGATCGATTAAACTTTTCTTTCCTGTTCAAACTTAAGGTTATGCATTCGGCTTGATCGCAGGTGTCTCGTGTATTAACTTTTTGACTGGCTAAGCGGTTGTTTCAGTTTTCCAACTCTTTAACCCAGGACAGGCGGCTTCTCACGAATTTGTAGAAAAAATCCTTAAAATCTGCATTTTATTCTATATGGGCACGGTGATTTTGTAGGGTTTTTTGGTCGTTACGACCATTTCACCCTGATCCTACAAACTTGACAGTTGAAACTTTTCGAAATCTTCTAGAAGAACAGAGTGGCTTGGCAGACAAATCCTCGAGATACTGCACCCCATCGGTCGTCCTAATTTTTCCTTGAATTTCTCCTTCGGCCTTAATGTATGTGTTTACCAGCAAGACAAATGGGCACAAGTGGTATCTCCATTATCCATCCCAAGTTCTGAGGCAGTATTTCAGTGACCGGAGGCCTTAATTTTTGACATATATATGGATATAAACTAAAATGCTGGCCGCTAGATGTTGAGATGAAAAGAGAGATTAAATAGATCTCTGGGTAAGACGGTTTATTCATCTGACCTTCCACAAGCCTACTTGTGTTCGTTATCAGAATTTTACAAGAATTCGTACATTCGTGGCCAATATATGTCTTTCTCATTCATTACTAATAGTTCCGTCGTTTTCTCTCCTCAATGGCTTTTCGTTTTGTCTGATGGCCTCGTATTACGCTGACAGGTCGATTCTAAGGTTGATCAAACTGAACCCAGACCATCACGCTTTGATTATCTCTCTAGACAGTTCGCCTCCGGCTCAAGTAGGTACTTTTGTATTGCTAAAGTCAGATCGGCGTCTGTTTTCCAGGCTGTGCATAAGGACATGCTACCGTAAGTCTTTCCGCCTTGCAGCAAGGCATTTACAGATAAACGCGCCCTTAGTCTTCTGTTGATTATACTGCGGTGTTAGACCAGGTAGTCTAGACAGTTAACACGCTCTCAATTCATAACGGGTGCTCATGTGATGGCTGATCCTTGGGCTGCATGAACAAACGGTGGGTAGTGACCTCCAGACGATGTACACGGTCAACGTTAACTGGTTTTAACATGCCATCAGTGACTTCGGAGGCATCTCTTGGGCATGCCAACACCAAGTTTTCATTTTGGCCCACCGTCAGTCTTCATGTGCCTTTCATACATGCATTCTCTTAACATCTTGAGAAAGTTATCGGTTGGGTTTTCGGTAAAACTATCCACATGTACCATAAATCGTCTGCATTTACCACTGTGGCAGTCGATCTCCCTTGAGGTGGGAATATTACAATATCTTAATTCTCATTCTTTATGCTCTTGCATTTTCAAGATTTTTTGTTTACTTTTATTAACTGCCGGTGAAATCGTTTGGAAAAGCATCCATTTCGTAACCATGAAACGTCTAATAATTTTTTCATCTCCCTCATTTAGGTTTCATGCGGTCTGCTGACGCTCACGGCGGAACCCTCAGTATTCGCCGTCTACTAGTAGTTGGTCGTATCTCCCTTCCCCACTCCTCGGTTGGGCTCGAAGCGGACTGTGACCGACTGCATCTGGGTTCCTCACTTCTGGTCTCTTTAACACGAATAGTCTCGTCCGGCGTCTCAATTCTACCCTTACGATGTCAGTTCTGAATCCCGTATACAACACCACATGCAGACCAGTCCTGTCTGACCCGCATACCTACCCCTCAAGGCTGATATTTATTTCTGCCCTGACGATGTCCGATTATAATCCGTTATATACCTCCAAATACAGGCCAGTCCTGCCCGCATTTTTCTGTTATTATTATTGGCGGGGTTTTTTCTCCTGCAAACTTAATCCAATCTTTTAAGTGGTTTTTTACCACTCGCTCATCATTTTTCTTAACGGAATACCAATTCAGAAACTATGAATTGCGTTGGGTACAGATTCTGAATACCTCGTCTAAAATTCTATGTAATTTTATTTTTACTTGCTTTGATGGGACCCCGACGGGTCTTTAGTAAAAAATCATTATTATTGTTGTTGACTGTACTACAGATTTTGAATGCGATGCCACCGTGTTTGCTGATGATATAAAGATCTGGAAAACACTCAGCCATGTTGATGACGCGCAGGAAATACAAGATGTTGATAATCTGGCTGCATGGTCCCGCAAGTGGCTTCTATCGTTGAATTTATCGGAATGGGTAGCCCGTCGCTTGAATGCTGGCCGAAGGCTCCTCGCAAAACACCACTACGCGATAAATGGGGTTCACTAAAGGAAGCAAACACGCAAAAACCTCGGTATCTGCGCAAGTTCAAACTTGCTGCCCTCCGAGCACTGCAAGAGAGCCGTCAAAAGGCAACGAGCGTCGTGCAATGGATTAGGGGTACTTTCGCCGTCCTTCCAACAGAACTCTTCGCGCACAAATTTTATACGTCCGTCAGACCACATTCATAATACGGAATGCCAGAATGGATGCCCTGGATGAAGAAAGACACTGATACCATCCGGCAGGTGCAACGACGGGTGACAAAACCAGTGGACGGTCGTAAAATCCCGTCATATTCTGAAAGACTGACCCAGCTTAGTTTGTTTCCCCTACCCTATAGACAAGTGAGGTATGGTCTGTTATGGAGATTCTGCATTATCCGGGGACCTGATTAGTGACTCAAATCCTAAGATTTCTTCAAATTTACAAACATGAGTCACCTGCGTAGTGATCCATACAAGGTCGACCGGGAGCGTACACGCCTAAACCATCGGAATTTTTCATGCAGACAGCGTGCAGTTCGACCTTGGAACTCACTCCTAAATGAAGTAGCGACACCCGACTCAACGATTATATTCAAAAGACAGTTTGGCTGTTTGGCCTTTGATAAACGACGGTTTTCGCTGCAGGACTATCTACGGCCAGCCGTGAACTTTATTTCCTGACTTTCCTCCCTGTATAACGCATCCCTGCACGTTTGGTGCAATTTCCTCCCTCGAATTACACAAATGACTATATTTTGTGCTGATTGTATATAATTGCACTTACAATCACAATTGCACAGAAACAGGGCCACTTGCAGATGGGGCCGTAATCCTAAATAGACTGCCGGTGTTTGGGTTGCAGTTGCCCACTGTCCAAGCATTTTATTGTCAGTTAATATGTTACTGACAACATGAATATTGCATATGCGGTTTTCAATAGGATCATCAGGGGCAATGCCTCTCACCCTAAATATACTATACTATGATTGTTGACTTTATATAGTATTTCATTGGAGAACGTCCGCATGTTTTACCTTTTCCAAGGTTAAGTCAGGGGCGTTTGGCTCACCTATTTACTACGTTATTTCATGGCCACGATATTTGACTAGGACTTTTGACCCACATATTTACCTTCCTAAATATACCAAATTTTGTGTATCGGACGATATAACTCGCTTTTTTCTTTATATTGGAGTCATTTTGGTTTTTATGTACTTTCACGTTTTGTTCTGCGAATATAAGTGTATTACAGGGTGTATATAGGTACTGGGATATTGCGTTAACTGATGCGCCCTACGTGTTCCGTTTCTAAATCGCGTATTCGAAGAAACGAAGTCACGGAAAAATTACCTTACCATAGACGCACAAATTAAACTGATCGCTTCCTGACGGACGTTTTTGTAGTTAATTATGAAATATTCGCAATTGCAGGGAAATTCGGGTATAGTAAGTCAAAGGCTTGCCTGTGGGCTTTAATGCGATATCTTCACAAACATCAATTTCTTTAAAATAAGACTCTTGTTTTTTTAAAGCGGTATGCTTGCCCTCATCTTGCTTCATTATAACTGCGCGGAGAAAAAGCAGTTTTTCTATGTTGACATAAATTATTTTGCTGAAACATTTCCATTTGGGCAACTGCCTCTTCGTAGGAAGACAGCCACTGGTCGATAAAAATGGCCTAGGATAATTATTGACGTAGGAAATCGTCTTAATATAAAATGGCGTCGATTCCCTCTTAGATTTTGGAATTTATCTCATGACAAAATTACTCCGAAAGGCAGTCTGCAGGAGCAAGTGATTTTTGGGCTGGTTAGGCGTATAAGTGAAACACCGAAAGTTTTAGTTGCCACAAATTATTG